GACGAATGTCGAAAGATGTCGACGCTGTATGATAGATAGTGCTGCTTTTGACATATGTAGGAACCCTCAAGAATCCGCGTTGCATGTCCTTCGTGACTGCCCTTCTTCATTTGAGGTGTGGAAGCGTTGTGTGTCTCCTGCTGTACAAGCTCATTCTTTTACGTTGCCTTTGAAGGAATATATTTTGGCAAACTTAACATCCAACATTGTGGGACTAGAGGAGGGTTGGGACTGATGATTTGGGATTACCGTGTGGAGGGCATGAGCATGGAGGAATAGCAGGGCATTTGAAGGGAACTCCATTGGTGTAGTAGGAAGAGTTCGAGGGATTGAGGGGTATGTAGAGGGTGTACGAAGTGCAATGATGGGCTGTAAAATGGTAGGGGTTATAGGTTTGTGTCGGGGAATGAGAATGATACGATGGCAGCCTCCTCCGATTGAGTGGGTTAAAATTAACTCTGATGGTAGTTTTAATCGCACTACTGGAATGGTAACTGCGGGAAGGGTGTTAAGAAATTGTTACGGCCAATGGATCTGTGGTTTTCTGATGAACATAGGCTTTTGTTCTATTACTGGCACAGATCTATGGGGGCTGTTCCAAGTGCTCACACTTACTTGGGAGCAAGGTTATCAGAAGGTGATCGGAGGTTGATAATCAGAGTGTACTCATGATGATCAAAAGTCAGGAAAGAGCGTTTGGTGTTAATACTAGCCTTGTTGGGAGAGTTCGACAGCTTTGGGAGCGGGATTGGAGAGAGTTGAATTTCGGCATGAGTATCGGGAAACTAATTTTATAGTGGACTACCTTGCATTGTTAGCAGCTCAGGGCCCAGGTGGGGTACATTGGTTGGAAACCCCTCCAAAGGGAGTTAAACCGTGGCTCCAAAATGATGTTATCAGGGTTTCATATCCTCGTAATGTATTAATTTAGATTTGGGCATATACCTCCTTCATTGCAACCAAAAAAAATAAAAAAAATATTCATAGATGTAGGGAAACATTACAAGAAAAATTTATAAAGAATGAGATTATCCTCTAACAGGCTAACTTTGAATCAATATAAACTCCAAATAAAAAATATAAAAAAACAAATGAATGTGATCATTTCTTGAGGTGGAAAAAGATAAAGATCGGCATAAAAAGACAATTTTGCCCTTTTCATTTGGATATAGACCGCATGGTAAAAGATGTAGACCGCCGTAAAAAATATCATTCCACTCTTTTCATTTTTTCAGTCCAAAATGAGTGATTCAGAGGTAAGAAAAAAAATGATTAGACTTGTAGAATTTCAGGCCGAAAATAGGCCGAGCCGGCAGAAATACCGTCCGGAATAAGCCGGGACGACGGCTTGGCTTAGACGGGATTTCTGCCGGTTTCTAGGACCAGGGACGGCAAGGCCGCCGGCAAATGCGGCCGACAGCGGTGGCGGACATGTTAGTCATGGCCGCCGTCCACAGCGTCCAAATCAGCATGGGACATCGGGCCTGCCGTCCCATACTAGGCGAGCCGGTGTGGAAACCGGCTCGCTTATCCCGGGCCGGTGTGCCCGGCGGCCCGGGTATTTTTTTATTTTTTCTTTAAATTTTAATTTTATTGATTTATTTAGTAAATTTATCGTGTTTTATTAATTATCTCATCATAATTAAATTGAATAGAATTTATTTAAGTTATTTATTCATGCAAATCTATTATTTTATACCATTTTAAGTTTTTGTTTATTTAGTAAGAGTAATTAAGTATTCTATTAATAAGTTATTTAGAGTATATGTTTGGAATTTGCAGGATACAACTGAAAACGAAGATTATAGTGTTTCTTTTGACACTAATGAGACATTCCAATCAGAGGATGACCCATGTCTTCTATCATTTTTTTTACTCCCTCGCTCAGCTTACTCATCTGGCGATGACCCTCTGGATATTGTATCATCGGATGATTGTGCCCCGCCTTTTCACTGATCTTTGGATAGATTCTGCACACATCGCTTGGCCATTCTTTATATCTTCTAATGGACACCTCAAATTTATACCCAGTCACTTGGGTCTTCGAATTTGGTTGGCGCTTAGTGATTCCATCTCTATACCTCTCTGGCATGTACTGTCCACCTTTCTTGCATTTCAACAAATGCCCGTTTTCCTTCTGTGAATCTCTCACTAATTCAAAACTATTGCTAATTGCAATCGAGAGCAAGGCCGATTTACATTCTAAAGGCACTTCAAAAGGAGTATCCAGATGACCATGTTACGAAGTGCCAAATTTACAACTATAGAAATAAACTGCACAAGATGGGGTGCGTGGTACTTGATGGCACGGGTCTTGATGTTGCTAACAGGACTTTTCGGTTGGCCCGGGAACACAACTACATAATTGTGACAGAGTCAGATCTGAATGGCCTTGGCCCGGGTTTTCATGGCGCACCCTGAATCAGTGAGGTTCTATGGAGTGTACCACTTGGTTGTCGGTATGGATAGCACGTACAAAACCAACAGGTATAAAATGTTTTTTTTTTGAATTTATTGGGATGACTCCGTGCAACAAGAACTTTTTGATTGCCTATGTTCTGTTAGAATCTGAGACTGCTGAGAGCTATGGATGGGCATTGTTACAGATGAGGCTATTACTTGGAGATAAAGAGCAGCCAAAAGTTTTATTCAGTGATCGAGAGTCAGGGTTAATGGCACCAATCAGTGATGTTTTTCCCGAGTCTACCCACTTGTTGTGCACATGGAACATCCAAAAAGATGTGAGAACCAAAATCCAGACTCTCTACGACGACACTTTAGTATTGCATAAAAAGTTCGGGGAAGAAAGGTGGTCAAAAATTATGGAAGCTACAACTGTGGAAGCATATGAAGAACTAGTCAGAACCATAGATCAACTGTAAGTCCTAATAAGTTTTTTTTGAATAATTCTGTTTTGTTTTTGAAGTAGAATATTTGGTTATTAGTAACATTAAGTACTTTCTTGGTATTGCAGTTATAGTCCTTATATGGACTTACTTACATATGTGAAAGAAACATGGTTACCGCACAAAGAGAAGTTTGTATGTGCGTGGACAAATAAAAAGTTGCACCTTGGGAACACGACAACGTGCAGAATTGAGAGTACACATTTGGCACTAAAGAATTGAATTGACTCGCCAACAGGTGCTATTGACACGATGTAGGGAAAGGCGCACAATGCGATTGAGGTGCAACTAATTGAAATCAGGTAAGTAAAGCCTTAGTTTAATATTCATGTGTGTATCTTTAATTTTTTTTGGGTGTTAATATATTTTTTCTTGATTTTTTTATCATTCAGGAGAACACTAGAAGAATCGCAAAAAAAGAATGGAATACCATACCGTGGTTATCCAATTTACCACCTCAATTCTGTTGTTTCGCACTTTTGTTTGCAAAAGCTGCACAAGGAGTATGAAGAGATGCAGACAAAGGGAGACAAGTTTGTATGTGATCATAAGTTGAGACTCACTCATGATATTTCTTGTGGCGGTGAGATGAAGGTGACAGTGGACGCGAGTCTGGCGATTTAGGTTTCTGATCTCAACCCGTTTTGGGCTAATGTCAATATCGACGAGAGCCCCGTCAATACTAGGCTTGATAGACTGTTAGATGATCAAGTTTTGTGGAAACATTTGGTTGGCGTGGTCGAGAATGGAGATCCATTGGTTATACGCAGGGCGAATGGTTGGCTCTATAATCAAATTTACCCAGATAGAGGGCCTTCGAAGCAACCAGAGAAGAAGAAGAAACACAAGGGGCACCCGAACGAAAGCAAGAACAAGCTACGTGAACAAATCTATACTAAATGGAATTTTCGACAACCTGATGGGCCTCCTCAAGGTAAGAACCCTTTATTAATATTTTTTAATAATTTTTTATATGACGAACACTATATATTGTTTATTAATGTTTGGTAATATATTTTTCACGTTATAGAAGTGGTACAGCACCTGGGTCGTCCCAGTTTCCCGGGGACGTGACCATCGCCATCGGCTTCTTCATGGACGCCGACGGCAGCCACCAAACTTGACGGCGTCCCTGCCGTCAAGTTTCGATTTGGACAGTGTCCATACCATCCAAATCGAGGGCCAACGGCTGCGCAGCGAGTCCCTTGCTTTCTGGGACGGTAGACCGATCGGCCCGTCGAGTGTCAGATGTCACCGACGCCGGCCCGACATTTTCCAGATTCAAAAAAAATAAAAAATTTCAAATTTCAAAATTAAAAAGTTCAACGATTTGAGAAAACTTACTCGTTCTAGTGGATATTTCCCGCGACGTTGATTTCCTCCGGCCATCGATTTGAAATCTAGGAAGATTGAAGATTGAAAATTAGAGTGTTTGAGGTTGAAGATTAGAGTGTAGGGTTAAAAATGGAAGATTGGAGTGTAGGGTTTGAAATTTGGGTTTTAAAATTTAAATTTGAAATTTAAAATATAACGGCAAAAGTGGAAGTCAACTCTTTGTAAATGGCGGACTTTATCCATTTCATGGCGGGCTTTAAACTTCCAGTATTTCTTATAGCTTTTTTCTTGAAAAATTTTCCCTGTTAGTATCATTATTTTCTTGGGTGTTTCGGCCAAAAAAATTTCCAAACAAAGATGTGGACAAAAATAATTTATTTTTATTTTTGGTGGACAAAATTAGTAGTCTCGGATTTGCCAAATCCGAATCTATCCATTTTGTACTGACAAATCCGAATCAACCCAATAGAATTAATTTATCACATAGTTGTAATTCAAGGAGATTCGAATTTGGGAAATTCGAGACAACTAGATTTGTCCATACCATTCCGGGACATATATTTTTGTCTAGATCCTTCCATTTAAAATTACTTGAGTAAGAAACTCTTATTTTCTTTTTTTTTAAAAAAAAATTTACCAGTAACAAAGTGGAAAAAACAAATAGAAGTTCACAATTATAATATCATGGTTTCGACGTGGCACCATCGAAACCAGTATTTAGATATCTGTAGGCCCCCGAACTATCATATCAGAATTCCGGTTCACTCAATTCTGTAAATATGACTATTGAAATGAAACTCGGACTGGGAGACAGGATATACAGTGAAGAAGGTCCATAAATGGCGTCTGCTATTACGCCTTCTACAACGGCACTTGTGAAAGCTACGCCACTAAAACTCCACTCCTCCGCCCGATTAATTACAACTCTGACGCCATTGTCGCTGACCCAGAAACGGGCTGGTCGGATTTATGCTTCTTTGTCAGCAGCGGCAGCTCCTCTGTCAGCAGCCAAACCAAACCCGAATGATCTCGTCGTTTCCATTCTTTCAAAGGTATACCCCTTTAATGAGTTTCCTTATGTTTTTGCGGCTCGATGCTAGTCTCGTTGAGTTTGTAATAGAAATGAAATGGGCAGTGCGGGGTTTTAATTTTTTTTTTTTTGCAACCTGCAATGCTAGCATTTGTGGGTAGATTTTTCTGTTTTTCCTATGAATAAGTTTCGGGAATCTTGTTTGTGGAATGAAGCTTTTGCCTATGGTTGAACGTTTGAATAGTTCTTATTTCGAAGTTTATGGATTTATCTTTTCAAGTATCTACGGGTGAGGTCTGAATCAGATTAAATTTTGGGAATGAGAGTTTATTAAGTTGCAGGATTTAAGAAAGACTATGGGATGAAGAAAGAGTGGTTAGAATGTGCCATACTGAAAAGACTATCCCAAAATATATAGCAATGTAGCTAGTCTTAATCATAAATCACAATTATGAGCAGTTGGCATCATCATTGAAGCTATGGAGTAACTTTCAGCTGATTTTCCTTGAGTAAAAGCCTGGAATTCTCTTTAGAGAATTGAAGTTTTATCCATGATCTAATCCTAGTTGATGTCTGCATGTTTGTTTATTCATCTACTCAACTATCTGCGTGGAAGATATAAGTTATATTGGTAACAGGAGAGTAAGAGATGAGGAAAGAAGTGAACTGGAATGTGCCATTTGAGAACCATTATTTCGAAGCTAAATTATAGAGCAAGTAGCTGATAAAGAGTTTAATACCTGCCCAGCCAATCACCGTATCTCACTGATTATAAATATAAAGCTATCTACAAAGCAATACTAGTTCCTCTAGTTAGACATAACGTGTCTCTGTGCTTGTTTCTGTTCTTATGAATCTCCCTTGAATGGCAGGTTGTGCAAACAGATAGAGGAGTTAAACTAACCAGAAATGAACATGAAAAGGTTGCTGAAGTGGCTAGTGAGTTACAACAGTTTTGCGTGGATGAGCCTGTAAAATGCCCTCTTATTTTTGGAGGTAACAGTTTGAAAGCAATTCTAGTGGTAATTTGTAATCAGAACATCTTTTCTCTTGTACTATAATATTCTTAGTTGTTGCTTCTCATTAATTAGAGTTATCCTAACATTGTATCACTTTTAACATAAGAATACTGATTTGTCAAATCTCCTGATCTGGTACTGGTAAAGGTGCTATCCAGGGGCTTTCTTATTACTGTTTGTCCAAAGTTTGTGAAAATGAACTTTCACATCTGATAGGGTGAGACTGTATCTCTTAGTTTTAGAGAATCAAACTTTGTTTAATTGAGGCGTGGGTGCCTGTTTGGGGAAGTGAATTAACCATTATGCACACTGTGAGATCAAATCCAGTTGACACCGTCTATTTTTCTGTGCTGTTTCCTGATTGATTAATACCAGGGTAATCTGATATAAAATTCTTAGTCTTTCTCTCGATGGAAGGGTTGTATTTCTGAAAATGGATACAAATGATGATTTTTGTACTGCAACCAACACTATAATTTCCACTGCCCAAAAAAAAAAAAACACTGTTGACTTATGGGTTATGATGGACGCCTAAAAGGTTCTAACATGACCTGTCCTTTGATACTTTATTTGACTCATGGGTTTGCATTGTAAGAAAGCTAAATATCAGTGCATCACCCTCTATCCAAATACCAAGTTTTCTAATGCTAAAGAAGGATTTAATCTGACAAAATTTTTTGTTTTGAGTATGATTTGCTCAAATATGACCTACTTTTGGAACTGCTTAATTATATTGATATCTGTTTGAAACATCGAAAAGTGATGGGATGTTGAGCTTAGGTCGGAGCTAGTTTTCTCAGTTACTGAATAGTGGACCTTCATGTCATCATTCACCATGTAGTCTTCATGGGTAAAAAATGAAAGATGAATTAAGCATTCTGCTCTGTTTTTATGAACCTTATGATGAGTGACAGGTAGAACGCATTAGTTGTTATCAACTTGGTGAAGGGGAATAGATCACTTTTTTAAGGTCATTTGGTACTTGGAGAACCTAGCAGTGAAAGTTTACTGAATGGAGAATAAAGAATAGTCCTTTGCTTGATAAAATTGTCTAATGATTAGGTTGGTTTATCTCATTAACACCTCCTGACACTGTCCTGTGTACTGTTTTTTGAGCAATAAGGGTAAGCATTTCGTAATGTAACTCTGTCATTGCTTATTCAATTCGTTTTGCTCTACCTGTGGGAAAAGAACCATGTATTAACTGAAAATAGAAGGTACCTTTTTGAACAATATGATGCATTCCGAATGAGGTATTTTATTTGCAGAATGGGATGTTGTGTATTGTTCAAACCCCACATCACCTGGTGGAGGCTACAGGAGTGCAATTGGCCGGTTATTTTTCAAAACTGAAGAAATGATTCAGGTTGTGGAAGCGCCTGATATTGTGCGGAACAAAGTATCTTTTTCACTTTTTGGGTCCATTGATGGAGCCGTTTCCTTAAAAGGTAGTTAAATTGGTTTATCATTTTTATGAGATCCCTATAGCTTCTCGTCACCTGTGCTAAATGAAACTATGGAGCTCTTTCATAAGATGTTTCCTAACTTGTCTTTCTTCATGCTAGATTTAAGTTTCTTTCGGAGCTGTGATTTATGTGCACTCATGTAGACCTTTCAGTTGGTATATATTATGTAACACTATCCAGGTTAATTCTGTTAGATATTTTTAAGTTAGCTTTTGTTTTGTTTTAAAATCGAGAAATATGGTTTGACTGACTTCAACCTAGACCAGATCTTGTCAAACAGTTACTATGTGTATCAACCATGTTTTCTTATTGAAACGCTGGTCTTTTGTTGATAGTATTATACCCTACTTTGAAATGCATGAAAACTAAACTGAATAAACTATTATGTTCCAGTAATGGAAAACAGTGCCACACAATGAGTAAGACAGAAGAATCTCATTTAACTTCAACCAGCAGGGGCTGTAGCTGTGTTTTTATTCATCAATTTTTTGAGTATCCATTATGTTATGTGTAGGGAAACTGACTGCTCTGGATGAGAAGTGGATTCAAGTGGTGTTTGAAGCACCAGAGCTAAAGGTAGGAGGATTAGAGCTCCAGTATGGTGGTCAGAGTGAAGTAAAGTTAGAGATTACATACATAGATGAGAAGATCAGGCTTGGAAAGGGCTCCAGGGGCTCCCTATTTGTCTTCCAAAGACGCAAATGAGACCTATATATGAAACTTGAATGTCTGACTTGCCGTGTTGGTAAGCCCTTTGTTGTAGTAGATTCCACAGAAATGATGATGATTGGCATAGGAAGTGAAAAGAACTTAAACCAGAAAAGCTAAAAACAAAGTTGTTGTAAATGTGCATTAAGTAGCAACTTTGTTGGATGCTTATAGATGATGGTTGAATTGAACTAGACCTTTTCGGCACAAACTTCTGTCATCTTGATTGTGCTTGACTTTAAATGTGCTCTATTGTTATCATACGAAACGTAATAATCCTCATTATTAATAGTTGATTCTTTGATGGACAGGTGTGTGGTGGTATAATTGTATATAACGAACTCAGTCAAGTCATTTTCGTACTAGAAACTGTCACTTAAAATGATGACATAAAGTTAAAGTTGAGATTGTAAATTGTTGTGCATTATTTCTCACCGGGGATCAGCTGGTTCCAGCCAAATTCAAGCAACAAGGCCAGATTGATAATCAAACATGGATAAACCAATGTTTTTTTTTTTTTTTTCTGAAACGGCGATAAACCAATGTTGTGAGGCAATAAATCACGAACAAGATCCAATTTTTATTTTTCATTATATCAACTTACACCGTCACTTTTATTGCGTTTATACTTCCCTTTATTGAAAATCATTTCTCTTATGGTCCTTTCACAAAGAAGCTAAGCCCGTTTGCGCATCCCTTTGATAGAGAGTGCACAATGTATATAAAATTGCACCGGTATCTGACAAACAGTTGCATCTCAATGGATGGTAAAGAGCTTAATTGACTGATGAAGATCATGTATAGTTTTCATGACGGGGAGTGATTGCTTGTTTTTGCAAACGTTATAGGAACAAATCCCAATCAACTCTATTATCCTCAAAAGGTTTTCATATCAAGAATTTAGTTTACCTTGTTTTCGAATTCATTTATCCCGTTGTGAAATGTGCTGTAACTGAGCCTTCGGTTTTTTAGATATACTAGTTGGTTTGAACGCGCTTCTGCGCGTACTTTAATTTTAAAATTTAATAAAAATAATAGAAGATAATAAATTGAGGAAAAAATAATAAAAAATGTAGAAAAATGATGTTAAATAAATGATTCTATTGAATAAATTTAATGTCAGATGTGACACGATTTATAATCTTGTATTTATTTAAAATTACAAATATGCAACTAACAAACAAATTTTCTACATTTAGATTAATATACATTTCAATACATGTATAAATCGTAATTGTAAAAAATTATACTTAAAAACAAAACTATTCTAAATAACATACCTAAACCAACACATGAAAGCGAACAATACTTACTTTCTAATATGTACTTGCAATTCAAGTCAATTCAAGATTCTAAAACTTGCCCCTTTTTCTTTTCTTTTCCTTTTTTTTAATTCATATTATGTTAGAGTTTTCTATTCTTTTCACTGTGATAGTGGCATCTGTAGGAGCATAAAAACATCCCTGCAACTGTGAGTGTGTTACTCAATGCAAACAATAAATAAGAGACTGAATTAATCCCACATGCATAATACAAAGGATATGAGAGATGCAAAAACATATTTAAAAAATATTCAAATTATTTTCAATTCTCTAAATATTTTTTACTTATTTTAGTTTAAAATTAAAATATCATCATTAAAAAAAATGAAATGAAATCATATACATTGTGCTCACTTAACTAGCGAGTAAACTATATGATTCCTCTTCATAGAAATAGGAAGCAATGAGAGATTCGACATTAGGGAGAAAATCTAAGCACAAAGAGCTAACATCAAAAAAATTATCAACCGAAAGAGTTCTTTTTAAAGTGTGGAAAATTAGAGAGAACAAAAGTGAGAAAAAAATAAAATTAATGAAAAGGAAGATGAAACAAAACTTGTAATTTTAAGGATTAAATGAATCCAATAATGAATGAACCATTATTAGAGGATGAAGAAAAGTAAAAAAATTACATTAAGAACAACCATTATTAGGAGATTGAATGAAAAATAAAAAATCATAATGATGATGATAAATTAAAGGGAACGGAAAAAGTTGAATAGAAGAGGAGAAGAAGAGACTTATACATGTGATGATATACTACCAAACATTTGTCTAAACACACTATTTATATATATACTAGATGGATCAGACGCGCTTCGGGCATACGCTATGTATAATAACATAATACAAACTATATAAAGAAAAAATAGTAAGTTATATTGTTGTCTAACACAGTATCTACAAAATGTATTAACAAATTTATCAGAAATAAAATATATATATATATATATATATATTCAACAAAATGTTATCAAAACTCTCACTTGTGATTTCAATGGTGGTGACACAATTTATCTTGATTGCAAAAAAAGGATATGAATAGTGAAAAATAAAATAAAATTAAGTTTCTGTATCAAAAAAAAAAAGGAACAACTAAAAAAATAAGAAAAAAATTAAATTCAAGAAGATAAACATGGAGATGAATAATAAAGGATGATTAATTCTGATAGACTTGAGAATGAAAGATAAAAGTAAAAAAAAACTTAAAAGAAACAAAAAAAAAAAAATGAAGAAAGAAGAGAAGTGACAAAAACTTGAACTCTTTAAAATTATATATAAGTAAATTTAGACTAAATGACTTTTGATTTTCTTTTCAGTTGTAGAACAATTTAAACTATCATTTAGGAATCTATTACAAAAAAAAGAATAGAAGAAGAAAAGACATTTGGAGATTCAAAGTGATTAAAATCACCGAAACCGTTTTTAGACTGAACAAATTCTGTAATAATTATTATTTTGTTTTTGTAATCTTAAAGATAAAAATTAATGGAATGGTAGATCAAAGATTCACTATAAATTGTTTTCTGATGAATGACATTTTATTATCATAAACGTGGACATAAGGGAGTATTTTATTAGCATAAATTTAAAGATAATGAGCAATAAGTAAGATAATAATGAAATAAATTAGAAAAAATGTAAAGACTTTTGTCCAAATTAGATGAGGGACAACCCAAAAAAAAAAAAAAAACTAAGCAAAAAACTAAATGAAAGACTACCAAACTTTTAAGATTATTCTGCAATTATAATATAGTATGATGAGTAGATTAAAGAAAAGTAAATTAGTTTTACTGAATTGAAATGGATCAACGAAATAGACTATTATATAAGGTGGGACGGAGTAAAACACCAATCGAAAAATCTTAAAAATATGGAAACTGTTAGGTGGCGAACTCCATGGCCCATGTACCTGAAACTGAAAGGTCTTGATCGGGGAAAGGGTGGTGCCCAAACTCCAAAGTTTAGCATGTTTTCCACACACCCGCATTTCCATTGCTAAGCAAGTAGGAAGCTCATGAAATAATTCATTTAGTTTTCCACTGTTCTCTCCTAAAAGGCTCAAAATAGTCCTTTGCAAAAAACAAACAAAATTGGTCCTAATGGGTGGACTCTACAGGTTGGTGGATGGTTGGACCATTTCTATTATGGTTAGTGTTCTATGCATATATATGGTCCCTGGGTCTTCTTGTATCATGACCTAACAAGTCAACCTTTTGGCAAATGTTCTTCCAAATCCAACCTTCCATTACCTTTCTTCCATCGGATTCAGTTATGTTGCACAACATCCAGAATAGATGATCTTTTGTTCAACAGGTAATTAATCCTTCTATTCCTATGGTCGAAATCTCCTCTTTTTCGGAAATCCACTAACGATCATCCCATCCACGTTAAAGTTTTAATAAACTAGCGCATTCAGAAATTTAATAACCTCGAAACGTAATCATGTCATAATACAGTAGGCCTTCTATGACAAAATAAGAGTTGTAGTTCTTACCTAATGAAATAAAATAATTCAATAAAAGTGAATTCATTAGTGTTTGCCCACATTGGGGCTTCATTGCACTTTCAAGAGATGAAGCATATCTAATCTCTATATGAACAATAAAATGACAAAATTATCATTTTTTTTCCCTTCTAATTAAGAATAACTTCAAACATATAATATTATAGAGACTATATAGTTTAGAATTTAGAAATTAATGTAGCAACATTTGAGAAGAAGGAAAGAAACAAAGAAATGATATATTAAAGCAAGTGGGAAGAACCGAAGAAGGAAATCGAGACCATATAGTCGAAGGTATATTGGACAAGGCATATGTCTTTGGATGCTAAAGATGAAGACATTAAAAACCATATATATTGAAAGGAAGAAGCAAAAAAGGTGGGGATCACGGTTTTAGCAGTCTTTCCTGTCCCTCTCAATTTTGGGCAGACAAAAGGATCAATTTCACACCGGCCCTGGGCATGCTTGCCCATCTCTCTATTGTTGCCTACATGTTTCTTTTCATCCCAATTAATTTATATATATGGAATTTTGGAAAAAGGAATAATACATTAATTAATTGCCACAATTGTTCGGCGCCCGCGCACACCCTATATTGCTCGCAATTTGTCTTGGTTTACACACCAAAGTTTTGGGTGGTGAATGTAATTAATCACAGGAAAAAAAAATGCCAACTCTTGAATTAGAATAGTAAACTAAAATAAATTATTTTTCTTAGTACGGATATAGAGTACGTAAGATATGTTAAGTTTTGAAATTGTATGTTAATCACCAAAGATACATAAGATATGTTAATCAGTAAAAACAAGTTTAATAATTTCTTAACAGACGTGGTACAACTTACAAGAGTGTTAACTTGGACTCATGAGCAAATACCAAAAAAAAAAAAAAAAGTAATGTTTATGTTTTCACAAAAAAAATAAAATAAAAAATAAGACTTTTATTTTGGAACGGCCGTATATATATCATATACTTACTCTGTCCCAAGAAAAACAATTCACATTAAATTTTGAAATTTATACAAAAACAAAGGTAGTATTGTTTTTGAAAAGGAAGAAGCAGAGTTTATCATCATCCAAGTTTAATTTTGCGTCGTTTACGTATTAAAAACTACACTATAAATGAACAGGGCAAATTTGCGGCCGTGGTCACTGTGAATTGCAGTCTTGCAGGATATGGGAAAAAAAAAAAAAGCAGAAAGAAGAGATGGAACAAGAACAAGGGAGAAAATGTTGCCGGAGGAATGACTGGTTGTAGTTCGTTGGTCGAAAAAAAATATTGATTGGTTAATGTAGTTATAATGTGATTGAAAGTGAGATGCTTTCTCTGCTTTGGCATTTGATGGAACCTTACAAAGCCAAAAGAGAGATTTGTTTGAATGTCTCATTAAATTTCTGTGGATCTTTCTCTTTTGTAATTTTTCTATTTAGTTAAGAAAATGATTTTTTATTTTGTTTTTTTATTAAAAAAAATGGACATGAAAAAATAGAAAAGGACATCAATGGTGTAACTGTTGGGATCGATACAGGAGGAGGACGAGACCTTACAAGGAAGGAGAAGAAAATGGGAAAAAGAAACCAAAAGAAATATATACGGCATTAATCGCCTCTTTTGTCTTTTTCTTTTGGGACTTTTGGAAAAATAAAAAATCATCTTATAATTTGGATTCATAAAATTGCTTTCATTTCATTTGTATTTCTTTTGACTTTTGAACTACGGCCC